CAAGCATAGCGAACCAGAAGAGTGTTAAAAATTCAGTATAATATATATCTAATCATATTTTACAACTGTAGCACTGAGTTCAAAATGTAAACAAAGCGTTTGTTTACATTACGGACTTTACATGGTCTTTAAGTAGAACAAAAAAGGAGTTAATTTAAGCAAGTGTAGGCGAGATGATCTAACGGTAAGGACGAAGCGCTACAAGTGTGTGAGGCCAGGATCGATTACTGGTTGTGTCGAAAACATTTTAACGTCAAACATCGTTGTTAATTAATTCCAGCCGAGACGAGAAAGAGTTAAGTAGAATAAAAAAGAAGTTAAAGTAAGTCTAGGCGAGATGGTCTAGCGGTAAGGACAAAGTGTTGCAAGTGTGTGAGGCCTGGTTCTGTCCAAAACATTTTAACGTCAGACATCATTGATAATTAATTCCAGCCTGGATGAGAATGAGTTATGTAGAATAGAAAAGGAGTTAAAGCAAGTGTAGACGAAACGGTCCACTGGTAAGGACGAAGTGTTACAAGTGGGTGAAGCCAGGGTCGATTCCTGGTTGTGTCGAAAGCATTTCAACGTCAGGCATCGTTGTTAATTAATGCGAAAAAGACGTGAAGTTAATATTATGCTGTTTTTCGAAACCGCATACTATTAACTTGCGCGTCTTTTTCGATTACGCAGCTGGAAAAACCTGCTTTTTATCTCCACGGACGGCCTAGTGATGAAAGCCAGAAAGTCATCGACAGAAGGCCTATTGACCGTAGATTCCAAAAATACAATTTTCACACTGGCCCAAATTCAAGTCTCTGCTACAAGGGCGTTGAAATTCGATAGAACATATATATAAGGTTCGCTCTATGTTCTATTGAATTTCAAGGACCCTGTAGCAGAAACTTGAATTCGCACCAGTCAAAAAATTGTATTTTTGAAATCTACAGTCCAAAGCCTTTCTGTTTATTCCTTATTCGTGCATCACTAGACGTTCGTGGACATAAAAAGCAGGATCTTCCAGCTACATGTGTAATCGAAAAAGACGTGAAAGTTGATATTATGATGTTTCGAACCTTATGTTCTATTGAATTCGAAGGCTTACAGGAGACTTGAATTTGCGCCAGTCTGCACATTGTATCTTCGGAATCAACAGTCCATAGGCTTTCTGTCGATGCCTTATTCGTGCATCACTAGACGTCCGTGGCCATAAAAAGCAGTTTTTTCAAGTTGTGTAATCGAAAAAGACGTGAAAGTTAATATTATGCCGTTTAATTGTCCTCAGCGCCAGGAACCTTGTCGTCAGCGCCAGGAACCTTCTCCTCAGCGCCAGGAACCTTGTCCTCAGCGCCAGGAACCTTGTCCTCACCGCCAGGAACCTTGTCCTCAGCGCCAGGAATCTTGTCCTTAGCGCCAAGAACCTTGTCCTCAGCGCCAGAAACCTTGTCCTCAGCGCCAAGAACCTTGTTCTCAGGGGCAGCAACCTTGTCCTCAGCGCCAGGAACCTTGTCCTCAGCGCAAGGAACCTTGTTCTCAGCGCCAGGAACCTTGTCCTCACCGCCAGGAACCTTGTCCTCACCGCCACGAACCTTGTCCTCACCACCACGATCCTTGTCCTCACCGCCAGGAACCTTGTCCTCACCGTCAGGAACCTTGTCCTCACCACCAGGAACCTTGTCCTCAACGCCAGGAACCTTGTCCTCACCGCCAGGAACCTTCTCCT